AAAGAATTCATTTGAATCAGTTCTAATGAGATGGATGAAACTGGAGCCCATTATACAGAGTGAAGTAAGCCAGACAGATAAACACCAATACAGTATACTAACGTATATATATGGAATTTAAAAAGATGGTAATGATAACCCTATATGAAAAACAGAAAAAGAGACACAGATATACAGAACAGGCTTTTGGACTCTGTGGGAGAAGGTGAGGGTGGGATGTTCTGAGAGAATAGCATTGAAACAAGTATACTATCAAGGGTGAAACAGATCACCAGCCCAGGTTGGATGCATGAGACAAGTGCTCAGGGCTGGTGCACTGGGAAGACCCAGAGGGATGGGGTGGGGAGGGAGGTGAGAGGGGGGATCAGGATGGGGAACACATGTAAATCCATGGCTGATTCTTGTCAATGTATGGCAAAACCCACTACAATATTGTAAAGTAATTAGCCTCCAACTAATAAAAATAAATGAAAAAAAAAGTACATACAAAGACACAATGACGCTCTCTATCTGTAGGCTACTATGTGTTAGGGGTTCTTCTGGAGCCAACCAGGAGATATGTTTTTTCTCCAAACCCTCTTCTTTAAGAGTCAAATCATCAAATTATATAAAATACTATATGATTTGGGCTGATTCTTCTCAGAGAAGAATACACTAACAGTCTGAAAACGTGACATTTCTCAAAGAAAGCCTGGGAAGTCGATACCATAGACAGTTATATAACTGTATCTACATTAACTCTTGATGTGTAAGAGTGGAGTTTTTCCTAAGTTTGACTATACTGCTGGTCTCTTCTCAGATGCAAAAAAAGGATAATGAGAAGCATGTTGTAAGTAGCATGTCATTCTAGAGAAACTCTGATGAAATTCAGTTCTATGAGATGCTTGCTGAACCTCACATTTCCTAGCTGCTTCAGTAAACCTGAAAACCAGTCTAGTTTCTAATCTAGATTCTAGTCATGTTGAAGTGCGCCCGCCTTTCCTGTCTGTGGTGTCCTACTGAGTTAGCACTTGTAGTTCTTTGATGAGAAGAGTGGTAGCAGCAGTGAGCCACACCGCAACCTCTCTTCTCCCTTCTGGGTTAGGGCCAGGTCCTACATCATCCCTATTCTTCAGCCCCGTCCTTCAAACCTTCACCTTCCTCAACTCCAGGACTTCACTTCCAGGCACTCCAGTCTCCCAACCCTGCAGGAAATGACTTAGAGAATCACCACAGGGCATCCATGCCTTTGGCCTTTTTTGAGGACTAGTGTCAGAAATAACTATGTGTAGACCATCACAGCTGTTTGGGTAGAACTTTGAAGATGCCATTCTGTTTTTGAAGTTTCTTATATAAAAACTCACAAAAATTCTCTTAAGATCTCAGAGTAGGGCATGGGTATTCTTTCCTGAAAAATTGGTCAGTCCAGAAAAATATGCCAGTCAGTTCAGTTGCTCAGTCGTGTCCAGCTGTTTGCGACCCCATGGACTGCAGCACGCCAGGCCTCCCTGTCCGTCACCAACTCCCAGAGTTTACTCAAACTCATGTCCATTGAGTCGGTGATGCCATCCAACCATCTCATCCTCAGTTGTCCCCTTCTCCTCCAGCCATCAATCTTTCCCAGCACCAGGGTCTTTTCCAATGAGTCAGCTCTTCACATCAGGTGGCCAAAGTATTGGAGCTTCAGCATCAGTCCTTCCTATGAACACCCAAGACTGATCTCCTTTAGGATGGACTGGTTGGATCTCCTTGCAGTCCAAGGGACTCTCAAGAGTCTTCTCCAACACCACAGTTCAGAAGCACCAATTCTTCAGTGCTCAGCTTTCTTTATAGTCCAACTCTCACATCCAAACATGACTACTGGAAAAACCATAGCTTTGACTAGATGGACCTTCTTTGGCAAAGTAATGTCTCTGATCTTTAATCACAAGAACTTGAGGTCCTTCTTTGCCTTTGACTGTCAGTGTCTAGTTTTATGGTTACTTACAGGAGTTTCTCCTTACCCCAGAGGTGGGCAACAATCTTCTATCTTGGATTCTGACAAAACATTTGAGTAAGCATAATGAATGGGCAGTTGGATGGAGCAGGATTATAGATTTAAATGAAAAGTTCTGTACTGTTGGGCTTCCCTGGTGGCTCAGTGGTAAAGAATCCACCAGTCAATGTAGGAGACTCAGGTTTGATCCCTAGGTCGAGAAGATCCCCTGGAGGAAGAAATGACAACACACTCCATTATTCTTGCCTGGGAAATCCCATGGACAGAGGCACCTGGCTACAGTCCATGGGGTCACAAAAGAGTCAGACACAACTTAGCAACCAAATAGCAACAATAACAATTGTATATAATTATCCTCTCCTTCCCTAGCCCACATAATGTATGACCCTCCTAAATGATTATTTTTATGCAAGAAGTTTTTTTTTATTTTTTTAGTTTTCAAATTTAAGTATTTCCAAAGCCTTTTCAGGAATTGGTGGGGTTGTGAATTTTTGAAAAATAAAATAAAACTGACTCACCCATCCACACTGCCAGGGTCTGCAGTCAATTAAGCCCCAGTTCTAAGAGAAATATAGGTTTTCACCCCTCCCTGTTAATCCCTAAGGCTAAAATTCCTAAGATGAATTTTGTGCCTTGGACAAGGGAAAGGTGTGGAGGATGGATAGGCTGCCCTATATTTTGCTTTAGGCTGATGGAAGGGTGGGCTCTGGGCTTTCACTCTGTGATTAGATGTTTTAGAAAGAGAGGACTATGCGGGTAACTGAGAAAGAAGACTATAAAGTAGGGGGAATTTGTTGTAGAAATGTTTTAAAGTTATTTGGGGAAAAGAAAACTTAGTAAGATAATCTTGACCTCTTTCAAATGTGCTTGTAGCCAAATGCTTGCTGAATAAAAGAAAAATAGTTTGCTGAGCTTTTACTATAAATAAATAACATAGGATTTATTTTCTCATTAAAGTCAGCTTTATTCCAAGAAAATTGATATTTAATTATCAGTATCCTCTGGAGTTCCTCCCTTTAGGTGTTGCATAAAAGTGAAAGTCAGAGTGTTCAATATTCTCTGTGTAAATCTTCTACATCTGTCCTTTTCAGTCTAAATTAAATGTGGAGCTTTCTCCGCTTCATAAACTATAGCAGAGATCTGAGGAGAACCCTGGTTTTGCTGGTTGGTTGGTGGACATGCCAAATTGCTTTGGGAGGTTAAAGTAATTGGTGTTTCTGTTACAAACTGTAGCATATTTCTTATTTCTCTCTTATGTTTCTGCCTAGAAATTCCTTTGATGATATGTGAGAACAGGTCAGGAGGGTTAAAATTAGGTAAGGGAAGAGAACTTAAGGTTGACAGAAGTAAATGGAACTTTCTGAACAATGATGCTATTACACTGACTGGAACCAAAGACAGAGCTGAGAACTGATCTTGTCTACCTCCCAAGCATCTGCTCTAAGCAGTTTATATCTTCTTTGGACACTCAGAGCTCCCTTCTTCATGTGGGAATGTATCCAAGATAACAACAAAGACTTGGATTTTCATATCAAATGATCACTAATCAGATATCTTGCTTTACTAATAATTTCAAAGATACAGATAATCCAAGACAAAGATAAAACACAGAAGTCCAGGACCATCAAAAGCTCCAAGACCTTTCTTACAACATCAGGATATGCTGTGATCTTGATTAGCATGCAAAGTTTCTAAATAATGTATGTTGCATCCTATTATTTACCCTGAAGAGAGCCATTTCATCATGAAATGTAATCACTTTTTACTTAATTGTGTGACTTATTTGATACTTTCCAGGGAGCCATTGATTGTAGGTTTGTTTACCATAAGAAGTCATAGACAGGCCAGACAGATCCTACTAAAAGCACACCATGAATAAGGAGTCTCCTGCTAGCAGGTACCATTAGTTTCTCAGGAGGTCTGTCATTGATGTGTTTATAAAGTTTGGTCTTGTCAACTTCTTTCTTTCCTGGAAGTGCATCCCCACCCATCCACCCGTTCCCTGCCTTCTCCCTCCCCAGAAAGAGAAAGTATGGTTTGTAGATCTATTGCTTAACTTCTTCCTTTCCAGTGTCAAAGTGAGCAAGATATGATAATCCTGATAGGAAAAACGAAAGCCAGCATTCCTCTGGTTTAAGTGAAATCATTTCGAGTGGTCTTTATGGTTACTAAGATAGTTGGAAATTATCTTTTCTCCATCAACCAGATATTATATGTCTTTTATGGAAAAGGTAAAGACCTAGTCTCCTATGGAGAAGTTAAAGAGAGAGCATGGTCCAGGAGGACAGGGGGAAGACAGGTTGGCATGGTGGATGGAGTACTGGATTTGGATTCAAGAGACCTGGATTCAAGCCTCTACATGGCCTCCTCCGATGAGTTCTATAACCTGGGTAAAACCCTTGTCCCTCTTGAGCACAGTGTCCTCATTTGACAATCCAGGGACTAGTCCATGATCCTATCTGTTGGCCCTGGGCCGACTTCTGATACATATAATCTAAAATCTTTTAGGACTCTGAAAAGCTATAAACCTATACTTTCCATAATCCCTGGTTGTTCCGAGTGTGAAAGAAGTCATTCAGATGGTAGAGGTGTGTCAATAAAAGTGGTGCTGGAAGTTGGCATGCAGTGATGTATGAGTGCTGTGTGTCCTCTTTATGATCACATAGTACTGCACCTCTGTTTGTATGTTTTGCCAGGGGTATTCCCTGACCTCCAAGTTAGTCAAGTGACAGAGAATACCCTCATTGCTCACTTCTAGTGCCAGTCATTTGGGAGTTGGGTTGAGTTGGTTGGATTAGATTGAGCTGAGGAAGCTCAGTCTGGGAAAAGCATGGTGGTTGAGTTGTTTGGTGATAACCTCTCCACCCTAGAGGAGTCCCCAGAGGGGACTATTACAGACAATGAAACTAGCTTCCCTGGTGGCTCAGACAGTAAAGAATCCACATGCAATGTGGGAGACCTGTGTTCAATCCCTGGGTTGGGAAGATCCCCTAGAGGAGGGCATGACAACCCACTCCAGTATTCTTGCCCAGAGAATCCCCATGGACAGAGGAGCCTGGTGGACTACAGTCCGTGGGATCACAAAGAGTTGGACAGAACTGAATGACTAAGCAAACAGCACATAATTCCTTGAGGAACTGGTATATAATTGCCTTGAGGGGTTAAGTAGTGGGAGGCTGGGGAAGTTGGGGGAAACTGTTCTAATTGTGTCTGCACCTTTTTCACAGGAACTTTTAACTTGCTGTGAAGAAGGAAAAGGGGAGCTCAAGGATGGCCTGGAGGTGATGCTTAGTGTCCCAAAGAAAGCCAATGACGCCATGCACGTCAGCATGCTGGAAGGTAGCTGTGCACTTAACCTCCCAGGGGAGCCTCCTCCTTTCCTAAAACTGTGGAACTTGTGTCATGAGATGAAAGTTGTATGAAGTCATGCAGAGTGCCAGGCTGGCAGAAAGTTGTTCCATAGGTCCTGAGGAAGTGTGAGAAGAGATCCATAGGGGCCAGCTCAGCTATCACCTGCCTTCAGGTAGCCCCAGGCCTGTGTTGCATCAGATATGTGGACAACTTGCTGCCTGAGAGGCAGAGTAGGACAAGCCATCATCATCTTTACTGTAAAGGTGTGAAAACCCTGACCCATAGCAGTCCTGTTCATCTGCATCGCACGTGTCATCATAATAAGCAGAAATCCTGTACATACACACACACACACTCTCTAGACCCGTCCCCCTCTCTTTTTTATGCTTCTAAAATACATATAACATAAAGTTGACCATATTAACCATTTTTAAGTGTACAGTTCAGTGGCATTAAGTACATTCATGTCAGTGTGCAACTACCCTCACCCATTCATAGCAGGTGAGTAAAGTTCAGCCAGATAAAACTGATGGGACTTTGTCAAAGCTCCTCAGTCCACTGGAACCATGTTCTAGAGACCCAGAAACCTGGCAGAGTGAGACAATAAAGCACTCCCAACACCACAAAACCCAGCAGATGAGGGCAGAGCAGCCATGGTAAAACTATTAGATGAGTTAATATTCCATATCCCAACCTGGGCTGGCAAACAGGTGAGATAAGGGAGACAAGTTTTCTTTGTTGTTAAACCTGTGGGGGTATTCCTCTCTTCGGGACCATCCCTCCTACCACTTTTCCTTCCCTACCCTTTAGCCCAACACTGCCAAAGACTTGGTCTGGTTTCAGTATATCTTAGCCACCCTTAACACAGGAAGCCCACTTCTTCATGCAGGGGAGCCATGATTACCTTCTCTAGACTGAGCACTGGCTATCTGAATCTATTCCCGATATCTCACTTTCTCCACCTCCTACTTTTCTGTTCACACCTGCTCCCCACCCCCTCCCCTGCATGTCTGCCTCTCTAAGCACCTTCTCCTCCAGCCTGTCCCTGACCTGCATTCTGGATCCAGGTACTCCAGGTTTGCTCTATGGACCAGCAGCAGCAGCAGCACCTGAGCACTTGTTTAAAAGTGCAAATTCATGCGCTCCACCCCACTCCTACTAAATCCCAGTCTTGTAAGGATTGAAGAATTGGCAGATATATGTGTTTTCATAATCAATCCAGGTGATTCTTATACACAATAAAGCTTCAGAACCTCAGTTAAAATGGTACAAATATAAATTGTTGAATGTTTATAAATTGTACTATGCTTGTGCACTGCATAGTACAGGAGGTATCAAAGGGAAGAGTCCTAGGCATGGAGCATAAGAAATGAAGAAATGAAGCGACAGCAAATGGAGTGGAGTTGAGGGCACTCAGGCAGGCAGTGTATGTCCTCAGCCCCATTCTGAGCTCCAGGTCAATGACAGTGGGAGCTGTGGAGGGAGAAGGAGAGATGGTGTTTGCCCTTGCAGGCGGTCCCGGCTGGCAGTGGGCTGGGGGAGACTGCTCTGGAGCCCTGCAGGAGAGTCCGCTGATATTGGTTTGGTAGAGGAGACCTGGGGCAGAAAAGGGGTCTGATCCCAGTGCCATAGACCTCTCCTGTTAGGTGTGCAGGAGCCACAGGAATCAGCCTGAGAGAAAAGTGCTGTGGGAGCTGAGAGATCACTGTCAGGAAGCCTGCCTCCAAGAGGGGACTGGAGCAAAACGCCCACATGTGGTGGAGAAGCTACACAGATGAAACGGGTGTTTTTCAGGGTTTGACGAGAACTTGGACGTGCAGGGGGAGCTGATTTTACAAGATGCCTTTCAAGTGTGGGACCCCAAGTCGCTGATCCGGAAGGGACGGGAGCGACACCTATTCCTCTTTGAGATCTCCTTGGTTTTCAGCAAGGAGATCAAAGACTCTTCAGGACACACGAAATATGTTTACAAGAACAAGCTACTGGTAGGTGGGGCAGGTGGGGTCAGACGAGACTCCCCGTTTGCTAGCTCCCTTGGGCAGGAAGGGATCTTGAACACTCTGCTCGTCTCTCCCCTGGTGCCACACCAACACCATCCTGGACAAGTAAAAGGCATCCTAATTGGAAAGTGCCCCCTCAGCCCACTTCTGCATCTTAGAGTTCACCTTTCTTCTTCCTGTTGGCTTGGGTGCCTCCCTCTTCACCCTCCCTCCCTGTTACCTGCTCATCAGGCACGTGCCTGTAGGTCCTTTCGTCCTGGGTAGAAGAACAGAACATCCGGTCTGTTGAAGTTTGATTGACAGAGCCCCTCCCTCGGTCCTCTCTCTGTTGCCTCTCCCTTCCCACCCCAGCCCTAAGTCTCCCACTGCCCTCCCCTTCCCCGCCTCTCACAGGCATTTCCTGTCTACAGACCTCAGAGCTGGGTGTGACCGAACACGTAGAGGGCGATCCCTGCAAATTCGCCTTGTGGTCTGGGCGCACCCCATCCTCAGACAATAAAACAGTGCTGAAAGTAAGTATTGCTCTCTGCTGGGCACAAGACCAGGGTTGGGGGTAACCAAAGGGGACTTAGAGGGATGTGGGCAGGATATGCCTAAAATCTGGGGTCTCTCGGCTTCCCTCAGGAGGGCAGCCTCATATGGGTGTTCAGACACAAATTCTACCATGAAAGTAGCCTGAAATCTCAAAGACTACTGGTCTGTAAGTCCAGGCACTTGTTGGAGTGTGGAGGGAAGAAGGCAAGGAATGGCCTTAGCGGGGCCCACTTAAATATGTTCTGTCCATATGGCCACTTCAAGCGGCAAGGATGACAACTGACCTTTGGCAAAAGTCACCTTGTTTAATGCTCCACATTCATTCAACATTTCTTTCCTGGACACCTTCCTCATATAAGGTATTCTGCTCTATGGAGGATGACTGTGTACGAGATATAGACCCTTAGATTCTAGAAACTCTAATGAATCATACAAGCCTGGGAGCTCTGCCGATTGAGAGGGGTGTTGAGAAGGGTCCTTCAGGAGTCCCCTCAGCTCCCCAGAGTTCACATAACCGGGGAGCTAAGTCAGCCCTTGTGGTCATGCTAGTGAGGACAGATCTTGCACGTGGTGCACCTAGCAGTCCTATGCTTCTCAGGGAAGTGCCCATCACCAAGGAAGAAATGGGCCAGCCCTGACTAAGCTTCACACTTGTTCACTCTGAATTGTCAGCATAGCCGCTGCCTGACATGAGAAAGAAGTACCTGAACAGACTTCCCTGAAGACAAATGGGATATTCATGGAGTAATAGCAGTGCCTTCAATTAACAGGTTTACTAGGCTAAAACCTGGGACTGACTCAATCAGTACAAACCTATGTAGTCATATGGGTGTTGGACTTATATCCAGGTTATATATAAGTATATTCAAGTTAGACCAGTATATCCAGGTCTACATATCCATTTGGTAAATGACTGCTGCCTCCAAACACCCCCTTCTTGCCCCTCCTGTATTCTCCAGACCTCCCCAGAATCCAGTAACTGAAGGGTTAATCCTTGGTCCAGCAGGGGCAGATATTATTGTTGGTCAGTGCCTCCAAAGTTATTAAATACTTTGAAAATGACCCTGTAGAAGTTTGCATTGAGTCTTGAGGTCAGAGCCCTGTTCAAGGAGTTGGAAAAGCATGTCTGTGGGATTGAAGTCACAAGTATAAAACCAGAGAAATAAACCCCTCCAACATTTGGTATCCTTGACCAATGATGGATTAAGCCTGCAAGAGAAGGGTTGAGAACTGTTTCAGTGGACTGAAGGGAAATGAGGTTCTTACTGTCTCTCCCTGTGGCACTCCAGGCCTCCAACATAGAAACCAAGCAGGAGTGGATCAAGAACATTCGAGAGGTGATTCAAGAAAGGATCATTCACCTGAAAGGAGCTTTGAAGGAGCCAATTCAGCTCCCCAAAACACCAGCCAAACAGAGGAACAATAGTAAGAGGTAACCAGGGTCTCTGCCCCCAGCACAGCTTCACAAGGTTCAGGGAGCGGGGGTGGGGTGAGCCTTTGCTCTGTGGGGGTGGTGCACCCCTCTCTGTGACACCCCACTGAATTCTACCTAAGAGGAGTCACCTACTCTTTAAGCACCTTACCCATCACTGTCAATTATACTCAGGAAAGCTTCAGTGAGCACCTGTCCTCTAAATAGACACTGTGCTGGGTGCCCCAGGAATATAAAAGGGAGTCCGTTCCCTCAAGAACCATCTGACAGCCATGTCTCACACATGGGATAATTAAACAAGAAGAACCAGGACCACCGGTAGGGACAGGAAATGCTGCAGGCATCAAGGAGAGAGGACTTGTGATGGGCACTAGAGTGAAGTGTAATGGGGAAGGCTTTGGGAGGGAGTTGGCTAAGGGGAGGGCTCTCTGGACTGGCTAGACAGCCAAAGGACCGTGATAGGCAGGGGTACGGTGTTACTGCAGCTCTTACTGTACACCCCCACCCCTGCCAAGTCCTCACCTTCTTTCATTTGAGATAAGCATTGTGATTAGGCAGAAGATGACTGTTTTTTTAAATATCTTCATCTCTCTGGGTCCTTCTGAATCCCAGTTTTCACTATACCAGTGGGTGACTGCTTAAGTATTTCTTTCTCAAGTCTCCATGTGACAGTTACTTATATGACTCTTTGGAGGACACTTTAAAAGAAAGCAAAGAAAAACTTCATGTCAATTTTGGAAAACTCAAAAAAACCTAAAAACAGAGTTCTGGAGGTTATGGATGTTGGTGATAACAGGCTGTCCTCTCCTCTCCTATTCATGAATGGAATAAATTCAGAAGATTTAGTTGACCCTTTGGTATCAGCCAGCATACACAGGCCAGGGAGCCACCAAGGGAGGTGGTAGTCAAAAGAAGGGTGTGGCTAAGGTAGAGAGAGATTCCCCCAGGGGCAGGAGCCCCAGGACATGCATGGCCAGGATAAGGCCCCTTCTAGGTGCTGAAAGAACAGTTATGACTGTGGTGGGGAGGGGTTATTTTGATTTCGGTTACCTCTGTCAGAGTAAGGGGCACAATTAGTACTAGAGACAGATCCTTCTGTAGCAAGTCCTTACTTCAATAAAAAAGAGAGAATGAAAAACAGTTATAAGGAACTGAAGGTCCAGGACCTTGATGGGAAAGGATATTCAGGCGAGATTGCCCAGGGTTACTCTGTGAAAGAGCCCCTTTCTCCTCTAGTAGGAGAATTTGAGCATTTCTAGAACATGGGATGGACATACCTTGGACATGCCTCATGCCTTTCTTTGGTCGTTGTCAGGTGATGAGAGAGTGAGAAACCTTGGTGGACTCTGCAGAGAATAGCCAGGCATTGTGTTATTTCATTAGCTTGGCTCCCTGTATGTGGGGACAGAGTTTACAGAGGGATGGGTTGGCTTGGGGAATACTACGTACCCTCCTGGCTAGGCTCCTCACCTCCCCCAGAACTTGCTTCATCTGGAGTGGACCAGAAGGTCCTGCAATGGGCCAGAATAGTAGGAAGCAGAAAGTACAGCCAGCTCGGAACTATCTACAAATGGTGGGGAGCAGTGTTCCAGATATCTAAAATAACAGATGATCTAAATGTCCTTTATTTTTGGTTTTGAAATGCATCACATTTTTTTTTACAGCAGATTTTCCTTCCTACCAACATGTGGCTTATATTATTAAAATAAGTTGGCATTTCCCAAGCCCACAAATGGTGGTGAGAGAACAGTTGACTTAGAATTATTCTGGGTGGGAGAAACTTTTTATGATTAGCACTCTCTGTGTATGTACATATGCATCACATGTGTGCACACATGCACACACATGTCCATGTACTCCCACACTCTAGATTGTAATTGTGTGGACTTTGATGAGACAGCTTCAATAAATGTTGCCCGTGGAGTAGCAGTGAGTTCCCATTTCCCCTAAGGCCACATTTTTCCAGAGGTATGACTTTCACACAGATCCCTGTAGGAAGTGCTGTCATTTCCTGTGCCGATTTATCCAACCCCTGGCCCACACCTCCAGTTTTTCCTGACTTGGACCCTTTGGCTTTCACCAGTTGCCAGACATCTAATCCCCCTTGGCCCAGCCTTTCTGTTCAGTATAGGATTGGGACCCAGTTGTAAAACAGGAGAGTTGAGGGAGCATGTGAATGAAATAGCGGTATGGTCCAGGGGCCTAGGAGTACAAAGGGGGGTCCAAAGGCCAGGAGTACACTTGGGAGACTGTCCTGTCAGACACTCAGGAGCACAGCTGGCTCCAGAGCTGCTGCAGAATCTGTGACTGTCCTCTTATCTTTGAGAAGATGCCTTGGCTTTCTATGTTAATAAGAAGTCATCATAAATAATCATGCGATCAATAAGACACACCAAAGTGAAGGCAATAAACTCTTCCTCCAGATGCAGCAGTTGAGGGTCCAACATAAGGACCTTCCCAAGGATCATCTCCTCTGGAGAAAATATCCCACCCAATTTTCTTGAGCAAGAGAAACACAGGTCAAAATAATTCTCCTCAGTTCTATTCTCTTTATAAGCCAGCTGTAAACCACCCCTATCCTGTTACAGCATGCATAAAATCTATTTGAATGCCCTGAACCCTGGGATTGTGGCAGATGACCCAGACAGTTGGACAGAAGCCTAGGTTCTAAGCAGGATGTGCTTCTTCCTACTGCCTATTATAGACCCATTCCTAGTGAAGATAAATAAATAGCTGCCTCCTCTGTACCATGGGCCAGAAGAGTTATAGAGAGTCATTTTGTGTTCAGTTATCAACATAGTGATTATGTATTTGCTAAGCGCAAGAAGTGACATCATTGAAATCACATGGGACTGCTTCCTTTAGTGGGATAATTTTAGATAAATCCCTGCTAAAAAGTGCTAAGGCTCTGCTCTGCCAGACCAGCTGGAAATCTTGTGTGCTCTAAACCCACAGTTGTTCCCCCCACCCCCACCCCTGTTGTTTTTCTCTTCTTCCTGCAGGGATGGAGTGGAGGATGTTGACAGCCAGGGGGATGGGAGCAGCCAGCCAGACACCATCTCCATTGCCTCTAGGACCTCCCAGAACACAGTGGACAGTGACAAGGTAGGACAGTGCCCCAACCTTCCTTCCCCCAAGACTTCTTATTGGCTTAACCACTCCTGGAGAATTACCCATAGAGGAATTTCTCCCATGGTGGAGCCTGACCTCAGTAGCCAGTGGTCTTTGTGATGGCCAAAGAGGAAAGAGCTGGAGGGCTGAAGGAGATATGTTACAGCGTGGAGATCTTGTCTGAGGGGACAGAAGATTGAGGGGGCCAGCCAGACCTCTCATGTCATGAAAGTTTATTAGTACTGGTGAGAGTGAAGAGCGAGTCTGGGTTTCCTCTCCTGAAATGCCCCAGTGGCACTTGTGTTTTCTGGGAGGCTGGAACTCAGGAAGCTGAGGCTGAGATAGTTTCCAGAGACCTTAGTGGCTGTGACTGGCTCATCCCTAAGTTAGACCAAGACCAGTGACTTTGGAAATGGCCACAGAGATGTCAGCTGGAAAGGGCCTCCTGTCCGAAGGTGCTCTGGTGAAAATGATGCCCTTCTCTGGCCAGAGTACTAGGGCTCAGTTCCTGAGGGGCAGAGGACCAGGAAGTGATGTTTGAAGCAATGTGGAGGATGTAGTTGTCTCAGGAGAAAACCTGATCACTTGCTGTCTTACGTTTTGGAGCATGTAAGTAAAAGGAACTCTGATGAGGAGCCAAAGAAAGGAGAATGTAGCAGAGACTCGGAGTGTTTGCTCAAGCCTCGGAAGGAGTTCAGCAGTCTGAATGTGCATCAGGAGCAGGGGAAGGTTCTGTCTCTGACCCTTCTCTCATCTGTTTACCTCAAGGTCAAAAGAGTATGAGATGATCCTTTTCTGAGTACTAGGGATTTTATTAATAAAGGTAGGGGTTTTCAAAGGCCAATTGACCCAAGTTTCTAGACTGAGTATTTTGGCCTTAGTCTTCCAGCCTCAGGCAACATGCTATGTCCTGACTTCATTTTAGTTTTCTAAGTTAGGGGCCTTTTTTTTTTTTTTTTTTTTAATATAATCTGCATTCATTAGGATTTTTCCAAAAATTTTTTTCTTCCTGGAAACTTCCTAAGATCATGGTGCAAAATCATGCTCTAGACTAGTGTTCAAGGACATGCAGGGTAATCAACTCTATTTGACATCCTGCTTTCATTTTTGACTATCAGAGTAGATGGAAAATTGAATTTTTCTACTTGTTAAATATACAAAGAAAACTATTTCTGTACTTCCCTTTCTCTTCTGATTGTTTGTTTAGAAATATTACCTAGAGTATCCTATGAATGAAAGTATTTCTTTTTAAGTAGTCAGTGGGTGGTAAGTGAAGTTCATGCTTCACTTACCATGTTAGTTCCGTGGTCATGGTCCAGGGGATGCCTCCCTTCAGGCTGCTACTTTGTCTTCCCTGTGGACCTTAGACACCTCGGCCAGAGACAGTTGTCTTAGGAAGGCTCAACTCCAGCCTTCCCTTGTCTTCTAGCAGAATGATTGCAGTTAGAGTAGACCACTTCTGACAGCAGCCATTTCTTTATTAATGAGGGACCCTGGTACTTACACATTATTCACAAGTGAGGAAACTGATGCCAGAAAATCTGAGTGACTCACCTAAGAAAATCCTAGCAGTGAGTAGAAAAGCAGAAACCAGAACCCAGGTCTCACTGATTCACTGTCATGTTTTCCCCTCACTCTAAAAGTCAAAGCTTTGAGCTCCCAGTACTAAGATGAACTCAGCTAGTGGGACCTTCTGCACATTCTACAAAAATTCAAGTCACATACTCGTGAAAAAGCACCCACCACGTGCCAAGCTCTGTGCTGGATACTGTAGAGACATGTGGGCTCTTTGTTGAGTGTGAATCCTTATTTGTGTAATTTTCGTTTCATGTATGTCTCTATAGCCAGGCTCTTAAGCCCTGATGAGGGCAGGGGTTATGTCTGTCTGTTTCACGGCTGTCCCCTCAGCACGTAGCACACAGGGATGCTCAGGAAGTACTTGGGGAATGAACAGAGCAGGCAGGGCACTCTAGCACAAAGAAGAATCTAAGACAGGTGGTCTGAAAGCAGCCAAACATACAAATAGTGTATTTATAAATATGCTAAAGAAACCTAGAAGTTTCCTTACTTCAAGCAAAAAGCTTTGGTCAGCTGGAGGACTTGTCAACTCCCGGTTACCTTCTCAGCCTTTGGAAAATATGAGCAGTAGGTTGGAAGATGGAGAGAGAGTCTGTGTTCCGACACAAAACCTGGAAAATCACTTAGAAAGAGTCAAATAAAGGGAGGGCCTGTCTGCGACCATGCACTGTGATTAGAATGTTCTTACTCTTCTTACACTAAGCAGTGAGATTGGGACAGCCATGTGTACCCTTGACCTGCACTGCCCTTCATCAGAGAAACTATTTATTGGTATCTTTGAATTCATAGATGTTATCAACAGTGTTAAATTTCCCCCCTAACTATACCACAAGACCTAGAAACTAGTCTTCATTGGTTTCCAAGGAGTCAGCTGAATAGACTCTGAAGAAGAGAAAGAGAAAATGGATTAATTCAGGTAGGCTGAGTCATATTCAACAGGAGGGCAGGCAAGGTGACTGTGGGGAAGGGATGAGGCAGAGATACCTCACAGAAATCAGGGTTATTTTAACGGTGAGTTTCTAGAAAAGCCCCAGTCTTTTCCTTCTAATCCAGAGGAATGAGAATAGTAGAACTGTGGGCTGGATAGATGGTAAACATAACCATCAAAGGGCCAGGACAGATGGCCTTCAAGAACTGTGGGACCCTAAGACACCTCTGCAATCACTTTATGTGTCCTTTGTATGTTGGGTAGGGTGGAAGGAGTTTGGACGCACTTGGGTTCAAATTCCAGCTCTGACACTTGCCCTTTGTGTCACGTTGCATGAGTTATTGCACCTTAATCTCCCAATCTATAAAACAAAGATAATACCCATCTCACTGAGTCTTTGGGAAGGTTAAGTAAAATATATTTAGTTGTTACCTATTAGATACTCAGTAAAGGTTAACTTTTTATCTTTATTAGAAAGGAAATAGAAATCTAGATACTGTGAATAAGAGTACTTGATTATTTAGGAGATTAAAGATCTTTGGAAGTTCTTGAATAGAGTTCTGCCCTCCAGGTCCATGGTTCATTAAATATCAAAAAGTTTTTTCAATGTTAGAACTAAAGGGACATAGCTTCAGTTTGCTTGTCTATAAATAGAACAACTTTACTCCACTTTCCATTGCTAGGCCTTAGAATCTAAAATAAACCAAGAGCCAATGCTATCTAATGGATTATCTAATGGGTTATGATCCATTATTCTCAGGTATTTCATTTTAATCCTCAAATTGTATCACCTTTGGCCAGTGGTAACCCCTAAAGTTTTAGATATTTGAAGACAGTTGACTTGTCTTTCTATTAATCTTCTTTTTTAGAAGTTCTCAGTTTCTCCAGCTATTGTTTGTATTAATATATTTTCAGACCTTTCCATATCCTGGTTGCCTTCCTTGGATTTACTCTAGTATATAATGATCTATATAAAATGGGGCCTCCAGAGTGACATATAGTACATTAGATGTGAACTAACCGATGCAAATTCAGCTTCTTGTTCTAGAGCAACTATGCCTGCCCTCCTCCCTAAGATGTTTTACCCTGTATAGTAGGATATACAATGCTGACTCATGAAATCTCCTTGCCTGTTTTTGTGGCCTGCTCTTAGTTGGGCAGGTGACTTAGTAACCTGAGTGTTGGACTATTTAATATCTATTAGATGTTCTCTTGTTTAATTCCATCCATATTCCAGCATGTTTTGAATATAGAATTATTCTGTCCAGTGTATCAGATGCATTCCCCAGCATTATTGGATAAACATACTTTTTGTGACTTCTTCCAAATTCTGGCTATAAAGACAAGACTGAAAACAGAAGACCAACAAAAGACCAACACCTGGCCCTTCCTCACTTCCCACTCAGGTTTTGAAACTTGGGTCTATCCTTGTCTGACTCTTCTTTTTAGGAAAGGGAATCCCTCCATTTTCCTCTATAACAGAGAAGCTAGAATTGCTTGTGGTATGTCCTCCCTTGATGAGGAATCACTCTAGTATTCTTAATTCTGCATTAAATTCTGACAAAGCTAACATGGATGCCTCAGTAAATGATATGAATACTTTTCCCCAAAGTTGTTTTTGTTCAGCTCTCAAATGGGTCTGCATAATTAGGTTCTACTTTATCCTTGTCCCATGTAAAAGTGTCATTTCCCTGAAGACAAATGGATGTGCTTACTTTGTCCATAGAGCTCTGGGTCTGAGTCCCTTCCTATTCTGTCCAGAATATGCCCATGTTACTCTGGACATGACTATAAGACCCTTTTGCTTATATAAGTATTAGGTGATAGAGGTTTGCAACCATATTTCAGAGAAATCCAGAATCATAGAATTCTAGTCAAGCAAGGCTGAGCAATAAGGTAGTAGCAAAGAAGTGTCTTATCATTGAACAAGATGGGTATCTGCCAAATAATTACCAACTAATGGTACAGAAGTAGCCAGCTGGGCAGTGACAGTCTCTATGCATGTATATGTTGTTTAGACTAAGCATGCCAGAGATACTCATTAAGTGCTTATTGAATTGAACATTACAAACCCCTCCTAGGAAGGGTGCTCTCCATCCAAAATTCGCTGTGAATTTCTAGACATGTTCAGGCTGGCTGGAGACAGGAAATTGAGCTGCAAGTGCTATTCTCTGCAAAAATTATAACAGAAAAACACTGCTGAGACATCCCAGGGCTGACTGGGATGAGGGATTGAATGAGAGATTTCAAAAACAAGCAAATGTGATCTAAGTTACAAGGTGGGCTGATAATGACATTATGTGCCAAAGGGGGACAGGGAAATGCCTAGAAAAGCCTGGAGATTTCAGAATACAACTCAGTGTTTAAACTCTCCACTGTCAAATCAGTGTAATGAGTTATGACCAAAACTTGGTTCTACCATTTGGGAGGAAATGTTCTGTTTAGAGATGGTAAGGGCCTGACTAAGGGGACAAAGGATTCCTACAAG